AGATGGAACACCTTACTTTGTCAAATAACATATACACAATCCCCTAGGGTATTAAGTTTCCTGGGCATACTATATGTGTAAGTGTGCTATTTGTGGGAAAATAGGGTACAATGCATCCCCTCTAAGACTGAGGGTGTCTGAGCAGTCACGACTTTTACTCAGCATTATGCCAGAAGCCTGAGCCTATGCAATAAGAAAAGAAATAAACACAGAAATATATCATGATGGAAGAAGTAAAACTGCCCCTACTTGCATAAGATATGATTGTCTATGTCTGTCTGAAAACCCCTTAGGACCGTATTTTTGCATGTAATGCATACAAGAAACAAATGCACAAGACTTTTCTGCAGTCTGCAAAAACCATACTAATGGACATGTTATTTGGTAAAATGTATAAACTACTATAACCTACAAACAATTTCCTAGGATATAGCAAAAAATAAGGCCCCAGGAATAGATAGTATACCAATTGACATATTTCAGCTAACAGATGCTGCCCTGGATGTACACACCAAGTTGTGCCAAGAAATCAGGAGAACAACCACTTGGCCAACTGACTGGAAGAGATCTATATTTGTTCCCATTCCAAGAAGGGTCACCCAACTGAGTGCGGAAACTACAGAACAATATCATTGATTTCACATGCAAGCAAGATTCTACTGAAGATTATCCAAAAACGACTGGAACAGCACATCAGCAGAGAACTGCCAGAAGTCCAGGCTGGGTTTAGAAGGGGTCGTGGTACTAAGGATATTGTAGCTGATATTAGATGGATCTTAGCTGAAAGCAGAGAATACCAGAAGAATGTCTATCTGTGTTTCATTGATCATGCAAAGGTGTTTGACTGTGTGGATCATAACAAACTGTGGCTGACTCTGAGAAAGATGGGAATCCCAGAACATTTAATCGTGCTAACGTGAAACCTATACTTGGACCAAGAGGCAGTCGTCAGAACAGAGCAGGGCAACACTGCATGGTTCAAAATTGGGAAGGGTGTACGCCAGGGATGTGTCCTATCTCCACACCTTTTTCAACCTGTATGCAGAGCAGATTATCCGAGAGGCTGGGCTCTATGAGGAGAAACACGGTGTTAGGATTGGTGGGAGATCTATCAACAGTCTGCGTTATGCAGATGACACAACCCTGCTCGATGAAACTGAGGAGGACCTCATGCACTTACTGCAGAGGGTCAAGGACTGCAGCCTTCAGTATGGACAATGTCAAGACGACAAAGATTCTCACCACTGGACCAATTGGTAGCATCAGGATGGATGGCAAAGAGATTGAGATTGTTCACAGCTTCAGTTTGCACAGCTCCACGGTCAACACTCTTGGCACCAGCAGCCAGGAAATCAAAAAACGTACTGCGATGGGAAAGTCGGCTGTTAGGGACCTCTCTAAAGTACTGAAGAGCAACGGTGCCTCTCTGGAGACTAAGGTGTGCCTGATACAGGGCATGGTCTTTGCAATCACTTGTTAGGCATCAGAGAGTTGGACAATGACCAGGGAGGATAGAAGGTGAATTGATGCCTTTGAGCTGTGGTGCTGGAGAAGAGTATTGAATGTACCATGGACTGCCAAGAAAACAAACAGATTCATCCTAGAGAGGGTTAAACCAGGCTACTCTTTGGAATCAAGGTCTGGGGCTTCGTCTGACATACTTTGGACATGTTGTAAGGAAAGACAGGTCCTTGAAGAGACATATCATGCTTGGTAGGGTGGAGGGACAGCGCAGAAGGGGAAGACCCTCTATGAGGTGGATTGATTCAATGACAGATAACTGGGATGGGTGTGTCAGAGGCAATGAGATTGGCACAGGATAGAGCAGGGTTTAGGGCTGTTGTACATAGGGTCGCGACAGCACACCACAACAACAACAATATGCATTTAGCAAGGTAAATAATATTAAATAAATAATATTTTTATATAGTTCATGAACACATGAATAACAGTAAAAATATAACAAAATGTACAAGGACTAGTGCTGAAAGCTATAAAAACACTAAGAAAAAAACCACTGTGTTCATGGACTGGAAAATTTAACACGGTAAAACTATCACAGGGAAGGATATATATAGGACTTAACAGAATATATATATTTGATATGTATTTATATATTTTACATTATATATACACAGGATTTAACACACCTAACAAAACTCCAGCAAGATTTTTAAGAAATAAAACAAGATTCTTCTAAAATGTATATATAAAAAGGTAAAGAAATTAAAAAAAAAAAGGTAAAGAAATTAAAATAGCTAGGACACTGAGAAAGAAGAACAAAATTAGAGAAACTAGACTATATGACTTCAAGACATATCACAATAGTAATCAAGCCTGTGTAGAACTGGTGATATGATGAACACAGTCAACAGAAAAAAAAAAAAAGATACCCAAGATAGAGACTCACATAAATATGTCCAATTGATATTCAAGAACAAAAGACAATTCAAGACAGGAAGGACAGCTTCCTCAAAAAATGCGGCCAGTGCAAGCTTTTTGCTAATCGCACCCCTACCCCATTTGCCCTAGCCACATATCATACCTTATGTGAAAATGAAGTCAAAAAGGATCATAGATCCAAATTAAAAATGCAAAGTTTAGTGATTACACAAGTTAACACAGGAGTAAAAATTTTCAGACTCAGGGCTGACAAAAATTTTAGATATAACATCAAAAGCACAATTCACAAAAGAAAAATGGATTAGCTAGACTTTCACCAAAACGGAAACTTTTTCTTTTACAAGAGAATGAAAATGCAAGCTACTGGGAGAAGTCATTTACAAACTAAACCAAACACACATACATGATTCAATTAAAAATGTACAGAAGACATGAGAAATGTCACCCAAGAGGATATACAGAATGCAAATGAGTACATGACAAGACGTCTGATGTCATCAGTCGTTAGGGAAATGAAAATGAAAATCACAATGTGCTATCACTATACACCTACCAGAATGGCTAAAAGGAAAAAGAGCGACAAAATGATGAAATGCTAAGGATGATGCGGGGAAATTAAATTATTAATAAATCGCTATTTTTTGTTTTCTTTTTGTTCACATCAGACGGGTAATGTGCCCATGTTGTAACAACGTTTAAGGGTGGCATATGTCGTACAAAAGCATGAATACCCAATCATCATGCTCATGTACCACAAAAGGATCCATAAACTGCTGTTGAGAATGTAAAACAGTACAGCTATTCTAGAAAAATCTGGCAGTTTCTTAAAAACTTAACTAGGCCCACCACAACAAGATACAGGTAAACAACTCAACTGCAAAATGGGCACAGGATTTGAAAAGACACTTCACCAAAGAAGACATTCAGATGGCCAGCAAACACATGAAATGTTCAAAATCCCTAGCTCTAAGAGAGATGCAAATCAAAACAACTATGAGATACCATCTCACCACAGTAAGAACAGCAAAATTTACTAGAACAGCAAGCAATAAATGTTGGCAAGGTTGTGGAGACTGGAACCCTTATCCACTGTTGGTGGGAATGTAAAACGGTGCAACCACTATGGAAGGCAGTATGGTGCTTTCTCAAAAAGTTGGAAATAGAAATACCATTTGACCCAGAAATTCCACAACTGGGAATGTACCCTAAAGAAACCATAACTGCCACCCAAGCAGACATATGCTCATCCGTGTTTATTGTTGCTTTGTTCACAATAGGAAAGAGGTGGAAACAGCCCAAGTGCCCATCAACAAACAGATGGATAGAGAAGCTGCGGTATATTCACACAATGGAATATTATGCAGCACTAAAAAAACAAAGAACTCATGAAATATTACACAAAATGGGTGACCATGGAGGATATTATGCTAAGTGAAATATCTCAGTCTCAGAAAAGACAAATACTATATAATGCCACTGTTATCAAACAGGACTGATAAGGGGTTTGGAGGGAAACTAAGAAAAGAGGGGATAATTGTACACAGCATTGAAACAGACAGGGAAGAGAACTGTATAAAAGGAACATATGATTAGGTATTATTGGCATCACAAGAGTCCAGAGTAAGAATTGTATAGTAAAGGGGGGAGGCGGGTGATGACTGTTCAACAATGAAAGAACTTTTTTCCAGAGAAAAAAAGCAAACTGGGGGGAAAGAGGGACAGAGAGGAAAATGTGTAATAATGAAGGAATGGGGGGAAAAGTATGTTCAAACCTGTTAATACCAAATAAAGTATACATTTTCTTTAAAAAAAAGTGTTATGGAACATAATATGTATAAGAATGTCAATGAAGTATATTGTGTATATAAAGAAAAACAAATTTTCTCTGTAATCTTTACTCAAGTCACAAGTTTAAAAAAAAAACAACAAACCAACAAAAAAGCCCCAAAACAACCAAAAAGCAACACCTCACACTTAATCAAGCCAAGTACCATAAAACTAAATTTTTTCCTTGTTGATACAGTAACTTTTTTCAAACAACCCCAAACTGGAAACAACCCAGCTAAATAAGTGATTGATCAACTCACAGTAAATCTAAAACATGGCCCACTACTCAGCAATCAAAAGGAATTAAGCCACCTTGAATAAAGCTCCAGAGATACCTGCCCAATAAAAAAAGCCAATCCCAAAAGATTATATACTGTATTACATAACATGCATGAAATGACAAAATTATAGAGCTGAACAAATTAGTAGTTGCTAGAGTTAAAGCAAGAGAAGAGTTTGTGGCAATAAAAGGGCAACACAAGAATTCTTGTGATAGAAATAGTCTGTATCTTGCCCACACTAATATTGTGGCTGTAATAATTTACTATAGTTTTGCAAGACGTTACCTTTCTCTTTCTTATAAGTATATGGGAATCTACAATTAACTCAAAATAAAAGGATTAGTTTTTTAAAAAATTAAGGGTCTTCCTTCCCTCAGTTTTCAAAAAAGCTCTTTTCAGTGAACACACACAAGTACAGACACATTGACTATGACGAGAAGAGGCTCCAGATTTGCATGTACAACCCACAGCACCCCAATCCAGTATTACCTGCTTCACTTTGACTGTTGAGTGGTGAGGACTTCGGCTTCTCTTACTCCGAGGAGATTTGCTTCTTCTCCCTGAAAACTTGCTTTTCCTTTTGGCTGGGGACCTTTTCAGAACATGGTACACTCAGGATTTTATTTCAATATCCCTTTCCCCACATAAATTAGCTTCCAGTATTAGGCTTATCTACCAACAGGAACACTACACATGTGAATTCTCCACTAATGACAGAAAAGTAATCAGAAGCAATACTTTTTACGTCCCAACATTTCCCATGAATTCTAGACCAGCATATATATAAGTGCCTACTGGAAACCTGATGGTACACTGGTTAGATGATAGGTTGCTAACCAGAAGCTCTGTGGTTTAAAGCCATCAGCTTTTCTGTGGGAGATAAATGAGATAATCTGCTTCTGTGAAGACTTAAAGAGTTGGAATTGAAACATATCACCAAATCCTTCTCCCACAGAGCCACAGGTGGCTTCTAACTGTCCATCCTTTTGTTAGTAGCCAAGTTTTTAACCTGATGCCAATAGGCTTGGTTTTGGGAACTCTGCAATTATATATACAAAAACATCTCTTAACTATTACCTTAATTGTATGAAAAACCTCTTCACTTCCAACTCTTCCTCTCTTATTCTTTGCTATCTTAGAAACTGGCACTACCCAGTCTCTTCCTCAAACCAAAACCCCAGAAGTAACCTTTCATTCTTTTTTCCTCACCAACACCTCCACATCTCTGCTGAATTGCACTCAATCCACTGGCAAATCTGATGGCTCTGTTCCTTCTCTCCCCCTTATTCCTACCGCCCCTTTCTTATCTTTAAACTCAACAAACATCAGCCTTTTTTCTTTGTCAAAACAACAGCTGCACATGTGTTACCTCTTGTACACAAGCATAGATTATGCTCAACATTCTGGTCTCACCTAATAGTACCTCTTCTTCCAATTTTCTCCAATTTCTCACTATCATCTTACTGTTTTAACCTATTTCTAATAATTATTACTAACTCAGTGAAGTAACTGTTATACATGTGCCTGTTATTATCTGTTCTGGGGCTAGGACATACCAATTCCATGAATGTAAGATCATTTATCTTGTGGTCCCAATGGCTGGCAGAGGCTTTGGCACATAAACAACCACTTGGTGACATGGAATCCATTCTGACTCACAGCAACTCTGTAAAGCAGAGTTGTAATCTTACAGATTTTTCAAGGCTGTAATCTTTATGTAAGCACTTGACTCTTTGAAATCTTCCAGTTAGGTGCTGAGGTCCTAACCACCATGCCACCTCTCTGACACATGAAAGCCTTCGATTTTGACTCCCCACCTGTTTTCCGAAACTGTAAATATTTACAAAAGAAGACCGCCTGTATGCCACCTAGAACAGCTTGTGGACTCGAACCCCTGAACTTTGCTTAGCAGCCTAACACAATACACGACCAGAGCTCCTCTGGCACATCTCGTTGCCACGGAGTCAGAACCAACGGGTAGCCTGACCCTCCAGCAGGTTTCCGAGGCTGTAAAGCCCACTGGAGGAGACTGCATATCTTTCTCCCGCAGAGCCAATGTAAGGGCTCCGGCACCAGAACTCCCCAGTCTAAAACATGCTGCTACTGTTATGTGCCACCATGTCGGAACCGACTACCTGCTGCCCCTCCAGCGCATTTTCAGAGGTGGTAAATCGCACGGGGGCGGTGGTCTGCCCATCTTCTTCCCTAGAACAGCTGATGGATTTGAATCTCGTGCCTTTCTGTGGGTTGGCATCGCAACTCCAATCAATAGGCCACCATAGCTCCCGACTGCGCCACATGGTAGGTGCTATTACACAGAATAAATGCGACTACCAAAAGGCAGTAATTTTCTTCGGCGTTTCTATCCGGTAAATTTCCTAAACTGTTCAAGCAAAAATCTTCTGTAGCAAGTACATAATTGTAAAAAGAATGTGCATTCTTTGCTCGGCAGTCGGGCGGGGAAACGCTTTCATTTTAACTTACAAACGATTAGAGTTATCTGGAAGCCACACTCTGCTAACCTCATCAAGATGAAGGGGCAAAACTCTCCTTTTGCTGTGTACCGTGAAGTTGGAACCCACCCAGCGCTGACGCTCCAGCAAGGTTTTAGAGGCAGTAAATTGCACTAGAGGAAACTGGCCGCCTTCTTCATGCGGAGCAAATGGTGGATTCGCACCGCGTACCCTGGGGTTGGCAGTGCACTTCCTTCCCAATAAGCCAGCAAAGTCCCCTAAAACTCTCCTAGTTAAGAAGCTAAACGCAAGTGACAGATGCCAAAGTAGTCTTTTAACACCATCTGGCCGGGTCACTCCCACCGCCTCCTGGATTACGTACACTCTGCTGAAGCCCAGCCTCCACGGTCTGTTTCTGACACTAGCTCTGTTCTCCCATCTCAATGAGCACCCAAAGCCCGTAATAGGCTGCATCCCCCTTACCGGCTGCCTCCGTGGGTTCGGGTCCCGCGGTAACCCGGGCGACCTGGCTGGCCGGTCGGCGAGGACGGACTGCGGCCGGAGGAATCCGGGCGGCGGTGAGCGGGAGGCTCCGTTTCCGGGCTGAGGCGCTCCTGTTTCACTACTACCATCGCCGCCGCCACTACGTCTGTATCTCGGTGCCTTCGCCGGCCTCCCCGTTCCCGCTCGCTTTTTACTTCCTTCATCTTGCTATCTCAGGTGAGAAAAAGAACAGATCAGTTAAGCTCCACTCACAATAGGAAATTACGTATATGATCCCTGGACTTCCGCTTCCGGGTTACTTCCCCTCCCAGAAACCCTCGCTGTAGAGACATTCCGGACCTTAGTGATTGACTCCGAGAAGCGGGAGTTTTAAGTTTCAAAAAATAAACATCTGGGAAAAGCCACACTCTCACAGGTGTTACCTCCTCTTTAGTAATTACAAAATACAAACATATCTAAATGCGCCAGTAATGAGCCAATTGTTGTTGCTAGGTGCCATAGAGTCGAGTACGACTTATAGCGATTCAATGAACTACAATTCTGAACCCCGTTCTATCCTATGCCACCTCACACCTCCTGACACACTAGATCCCATAGCAGCAGTCACCGCGTCAATCCACCTAGTCTAGGGTCTTCCTCTCCTTCGCCAGCCCTCCACCTTTCTGAGTATCATATCCCTTTCCAAGAAATAGGCCCTGCTAGCAACCTGCCCAAAGTATGTGAGACAAAGCCCCATCATCTTTGCCTCTGGCTGCACCCTTTTCAAAATACATTTGTTTGTTCTTTCGGACGTCCATGTATGTTCAGCGCTCCTCTCCAACAGCACAACTCAAAGACATAATTTATTTTTTTTTTTATAGTTAACAGTTTTCGTTTACTTGGTTCCACAGTCAAAACTCTTGGTAACAGCAGCCAGGAAATCAGGAGACGAATTGCATTGGAAAAGTCAGCTGTGTGAGGGACCTCTCAAGAGACCTGAAGAGCAACGACGTCAGGCTGGAGACTAAGGTGTGCCTGATCCAGTCCATAGTCTTCGCAATTACGTGCTATGCAACAGAGAGTTGGACAGTGACTAGGGATGACAGAAAGAGGAATTGATGCCTTTGAGCTGTGGTGCTGGAGAAGAGTGTTGAATATACCGTGGACTTCTAGGAGAATAAACAGGTTTGTCCTGGAGACGGTGAAGCTGGAATGCTCCTCGGAGTCAAGAATTCTTTTTTTTAAAAAAAATTATTATTAATTTTAATGAAAATTTACAGAGACTTTGGATTTCCACTTTTTCATTGTTGCACTTTTCTGTCCTCCCAACCCTTTTCCTCACCACCCAGTACACTACCCTCTTGGAAAAGAAAAAGAAAAATTCCTTCATTGTTTTACAATTCCTCCCCCCAGGTCCACTCCACTATGCAGCCTTTGCTCTGGACTCCAGTCATGACAAAAATACCTAATACTTTTTAAACAGTTTTATCCCTCATCTGTTACAATGCAGTATACATTATTGAACCCATCTTTCTCAGTCTCCCCCCAACCCCGATGTCAGTCCTGTTTTACAACAGTGGCACCATGCAGTATTTGTCCTTTTGTGACTGAGATACTTCATTCCGCATAATGTCCTCCAGGGTCACCCATTTTGAATAATATTGCATGAGTTCCTTGTTTTTCAAGGCAGCATAGTATTCCATTGTGTGAATATACCATAGTTTCTCTATCCATTCGTTTGTTGATGGGCACGTAGGTTGTTTCCAACTCCTTGCTATTGTGAACAAAGCCGCGATAAACACGGTGTGCATATATCTGCTTCGATGTCAGTTATGGTCTCTTTGGGGTATATTCCCAGTAGTGGAATTGCTGGATCAAATGGTATCTCTATTTGCAACTTTTTTGAGAAAGCGCCATGCCACCTTCCACAGTGGTTGCACCAGGCATAATTCTTCTGTCATCCTTAAACATTGTCCAGCTCTCAGATGCATAACAAGTGATCGGAAAGACCATGGTCTGAATCAGATGCACCTTAATCCTCAAAATGACATCATTACTCCTCCATAATTTGAAGAAATCCCTAAATGCAGACTTTCCCAGTGCAATACGTCTCCTGATTTCCTGATTGCTGGTACCAAGGGTAGGGTGTTAATTGTGGATCCAAATAAAATGAAGTTGTTGACAGTTTCAATCTTTTCTCCATTTATCATGATGTTACCTCTTGGTCCAGTGGTAAGAATCTTTGTTTTTCTTGACATTGAGATGCAATTCATATTGGAGACTGTATTCTTTGATCCTCTGCAACAAGTGCTCAAAGTTCCACTCCCTTTCAGCAAGCAAGGTTGCTTAATCTGCATAATGCAGGTTATTGAAGAGTCTACCTCCGTTCCTGATGCTACATTCCACTTAATAAAGTCTAGCTTTTGGAATAATTTGCTCAGCAAACAGATTGAATAGGTAGGGAGAGAGACTACAACCCTGACATACTTCCATCCTATTTTTAAATCATGTATTGTACCCCTTCTCTGTTCGCCCAAAAGCCTCCTGGTCTAGGTATAGATTTCGCATGAGCAACAAGAGAGGCTTTGGCAAATTTATTTCTACTCTATATAGATGTGTATTTACCATACCACTCCTCTTATTATATTTGTATTCTTTTAGGTTTTATGCATTATTTAGTCTAATTTGGTAGATTATTTTTTGGGAGTCTGAGAAAAACAAAAAAACAACTCCACCCTAAAGGGAGCTCTGGTGGCTTAGTGGCAAGAAGTTGCGCTGCAATCCTGAAGGCTCATGGTTTGAATCCACCTGATGCTCCCCTGGAGAAGCACGAATCTCCTCCTGTGCCAGTCGGATCCGATTCGACGGTACACAACAACAACAAAAACAAACAAGCAAAAACCAACCCAAAATTTCGATATAAAGGTACTTGTATCTTTGCCTTTTATCACTTAAGCTTATACAAAGTTTCTTCAGAACATTCTACTTTCAGACAATAGGAGGAAAACGAATAAAGCAGGGTACAAATTTGTACTCCAACTGATTTTATTTACATTTAAAAACACTTCGAGAAGGAAATGCAGTTAGATGATTGCCCAGTGAACAGATGATTTGCCCATGGACAAATCATTATTTTTGCTTTATTTCCAAAACTTTCAGCATGCTACCATTTTTCTCTATTTCATTTGGAGGGGAACCCAAAATCCAAAGTCCTAACTTAAAAACCTAGAAAGCCCCACCAGACTCCGAGAATCCAATCCCTCAATGAGTTAAGAGAGGACTCTCATTTTGTAGGTGACAAAATTCGAGCTCAATGAAGACGATACAATTGCTGGCCAGAAGCAGCGCAAGAACTGGAACTCACGCTATCCTAACTCCCAAGGGTCCTCGGAGCTCTGGCGGCGTAACTGGTGGTTGCACTGTTAATCCCTAACCTTTCATTACCTTTTCCAGTGGTTGGTTTGAATCCACCAGTGGTTCCGGGGAGAATAAAGAGCAGTCTCTTCCTGTTGCACTTTACAGCCTCATAACCCGAAGGAAGGTCTCTATGAGTCGAACCGACTCAATGATAATAGAGTGACTGAGTGAAGAATCCCGAACAGGACTCGAACAGGAGACCGAGCGCCAGACCTTTTCTTGTACCCTGGTCGCGCTAATGGCCACGCCCCATCCCGAAGCCCCGCCCAGATCCTGAGGCGGGGAGAAGTTCCCATGGCGACGGAAAACAAGTTTGAGCCTGGAGGAGCGCTTCTGCGATAGGACCCCCTGCTGCCGCCATGTTTCCCCAAGAGGACTCACTGCTCAAATACGACACCCCAGTGTTGGTGACCCGGAACACAGAGAAACGGAGTCCCAAAGTAAGGACGATCTCAGGATGGAGATGGGAAAGGGGCACCCGGAAGCTCCTATGGGGAAGGACTTATCCCCTCTTGGAGGGCTTAGGGACTGCAGAAACTGAAACAGTAGAGAAGGGGAAGGGCACCCCAGGCCGGGGAGGGAGGAGGGCAGGAGAGGCCAGATTTAGAATGAGGAAGAAAATGACAGTGAAGTGGATGAGGCACACCTTTTCGTGGTACTGGGTGAGGGTGTGTGTCAGTATATCCAAGAATACCTGAAGTGGTCAAGTATGAAAGCAGAGAAACCTATTGACAGGCCTTTCAAGGGGACACAAACACTGGGTTTGGATGGGACCAGAGCTCTTGAGAATTTTCTTCAGACAGATATGACTTCTGTATCTTCAGAGAGATTTCTCATCCTCAGAGAGATGAGAAGACAGAGAGCGAGCTGAGAATAGGATAGGGATGTGCAGAAGTCGGGATGCATGAATCTGATGCCTTGATCGACTGTCGTCTGCCCAAACCTGCTACTTCTCAGGCTCGGCCACTGAAAGTCAGCCCTCAGCAGCCTGGACCTTCCTCCAGTCCAGTCCCACAGCCACCAAAATCTAAGATTCCTTCATCTTCTTGTGTCACAGACCCTACAAAGCAGGCTGAAGAAATTTTGAATGCCATCCTGCCCCCAAGGTAAAAAAAAAAAAAGTCCGAGCAGTTGCTGGGAGAAGGAAGGCTTAGGCTTTTGCATCCCAGAACTGGGGAATATGGGGAGAGGTACCTTGCCCCTGTTCTTGGCTCGGGTGGGGTTCTCCCGGCATTCCAGATCTTGCAGATGACTGGATCCAGGGATCTTCTATCTACCCTCATTTGGAAAAATTTCACGCAGTCTATAAGTGAGGGATGTGGATTGGAGATATATATATATATGTTTGGTTTGTACAAATGGTCACTGGCTCGAGGGAGCTCTGGTGGCCTAGTGGCAAGGAGCTGCAATTACAATCCCAGAGGCACACGGTTCGAATCCACCAGATGCTCTGCCGGGAAAAGGAGGGACAATCTCCTCCTGTACCAGTCAGATCTGATTTGACGGTACACTCACACAAAAATTAAAAAACAAAACAAAACAAAAAACAAAAAAAAAACCCAAAAAACAACAAATGGTCACTGGCTCAATTCTAATATAAATGTTGAATGTTCAAGTCCACCTAAAAGCACTGCAGAGGAAAAGCCAGGGAATATACTTCTGAAAAATCAGTCATTGTAAAACCTACCAGGTGGAGTTATTCTCTGACATCCTTGGATTGCCTTGAATCATGTGAATTCAATGGCAGCTGGTCATGGTAGTGGGTATGTTGATGATGCTTGGTGGTTCAGTGGTAGAATTCTCACCTTCCACACAGGAGACCTGGGTTCAGTTCCCAGTTAATGTACCTCATCTGAAGCCACTACCATTTGTGGGTGTGTTCTGTGTATTGCTATGGTATTGAAAAGATTTCAGTGTTGCATTAAAAAAAATCATTAATAAAAAAAAATATCTCAGTGGCGCTTTCAAACCAAGACACTAGGGGGAGAAAAAATGTTAATGCTCTCTCTACTTCTGAAAAATAGCCTGTGGGTGACAGTGGTCCAATCTGAGCAAATTCTAGGTTGGAGCAGGACCAGGGAGCATTTAACTCCATTGTGTTTGCGCTTACCATGAGATGGGGGTTTATTCCACAAGAGCTAAAAATATTAACAGTATGCTGATGACTCCCAAATGTGTGTTTGCAGCCTTGTCTTTTCTCTAAACTCCTTCCTCATTATCTTCAATGTTATAATAGAGATCTCATGTTCAAACTAAATTGCAATTTTCTCCTCCCTCAATTAACTCACTCCTTGTCTTCTATTCTTAACCCCCAAATCAAACCCACTGCCACTGAATTAATTGCAACTCATGATGACCCTCCATCAGGTTTCTGTGGGAGGCGTCAGCCTCATCTTTTAGCATGTGGGTTCAAACTGCTGACCTTTTAGTTAGCAGCCCAGCACCTAGCCTGTTATATCACCAGGACTCCTCTGTAAATAATAAATACCTTTTACTAAGTATACTTTTAGTTTCTCTCTATCTGGATCTCAAAAAAGCTTGATCCTTTTTCAAACTCTTTGGGTCCATCTTCAAATTCTATCACATATCTGGCTACTTTCATCACTTCTGCTCCTATCATCTTTTTTCAAGTCACTATTTCTCACCTGTGATACTGCAATGATCTTTATTTTTTTAATTTATTATTAATTTCAATGAAAATTTATAGAGACTT